TGAAGTCCAGGGCCGAGGGCCTCCACTCAGAATCCGGAGAGCGTGGCCAATACCTAGAGTCTGGAGGGCAGGGCCATTGTACAAATCGTCTCAGAAAATAGAAGATTATTTTCAAGCCTTGAGGGCTAATGTAATGTGTTCTGCTGATTTGCTTGGTGCCTGTTATCCCTTCTTTCCCTCCAGTTTCTTCCATTTGTAATGGAAACATATAGCTTTGTGCCTGTTCCACTATTGTGCTTTGGAAGCAGATAACTTGTATTCTAGATTTCACAGATGAGGAAGAATTTTTGGATTTTGGACTTGCAGTTGATTTAAGACTTTTGCTATGATATGATGGGGTGAATATGTTTTACATGTGGCAAGGACATGAATTTTTGGGGGCCAAAAGGTAGAGTGTCATGGATTGAAATGTGCCACCCCAAAATACGTGTATCAGTTTGGCTAGGCCATGATTCCCAGTATTGTGTGAGTGTCCACCATTTTGTCATCTGATGTGATTTTCCTATGTGTTGTAAATCCTATCTCTATGATGTTCATGAGATGGGATTAGTGGCAGTTACGTTAATGAGGCAGGACTCAATCCACAAGATTGGATTGTGTCTTGAGGCAATCTCTTTTGAAATAGAAAAGAGAGAAGCAAGCAGAGAGACATGGGGACCTCATACCACCCTGAAAACAGCACTGAGAGCAGAGGACGTCCTTTGGACCCAGGGTCCCTGCGCCTGAGAAGCTCCTAGACCAGGGGAAGATTGATGACAAGAACCTTCCTTCAGAGCTGACAGAGAGAAAAAGCCTTCCCCTGCAGCTGACACCCTGAATTTGGACTTCTAGCCTACTAGACTGTGAGAGAATAAACTGCTGTTTGTTGAAGCCATCCACTTGTGGTATTTCTGTTATAGCAACACTAGATGACTAAGACAGTATGTTTTTGAGATTCATCCATGTTGTTTCATGTATCTATAGTTGGTTCCTTTTTATTGTTGATCATCTCTATTGTATGAGTATACAGCACCTCCGGTTAGTGGGCTTTGAGTTATTTCCAATTCTGGCTAGTGTGATTAAGGCTGTGTAAAAATGGCATGGGGGCGATGTCTGACCTCCTTTAACTTCGCAAGGGGCAGGGAGAATCAAGATCAACAGCCCAAGGCTGATTCCTATGAGGTGGAGGTCAAACATGCCTCCTCTCTTCACCATCTTTATAATTCTGACACCAGCCGTTCCTCCCATGGCACTCTCTACTTCTCTGCTGGGTTTGATAATTCATTGCAATGGCCACACAGAACTCACAGACCATACTAATGATTATGGGGTTTATTAGGGAAGTAACAGGTTACAATTCAGGCTCAGGAACACCCAGGATACAGTTCTTCCATCAGGACGGCCTCTTCCCAACTGTGCTCACAGGCCCGCCTCTCCCTGGCTCTCTGTCTCTGCCCAGAGGCACTCGGCTTTCTCACATCATGGGCCGGGAAGCCCACTGTGATGTCTCTTCCTGCCAGGTCTCTGCTGCTGGGTCTTTCCTGCCAAATCTCTCCTGCCACCCCTTCTCACCATCTTCAGGGTTACATCTTGCTTTCTCTGTCGGTCTCCTGCTTCCAGGAGCTTCTCAGAGGAGGGATGCCGGGTCCAAAGGATGTGACCTCTGTTCCTGGCTGTTCTTCCCTGGCGGTGGTGGGATTCTTCTCTTTTCTACCTCTGGGGTCTCCCATTTCAAGCCCAGCGGGATGGCAAAATCAACCAATCCCTTTGGTGGGCCACAATTGCCATATCTGCATAGCTCCGCCTAGTCACTTGGGTAGAAGTTACAAGATAACTAGAAAGCCCAGGCAAAAGTGATCCGTAGCACCACAGGCCACTACGAGCATCCTTATACAAGTCTTTGTGGACCTCTGTTTTCCTTGCCTCCATCCCTTAGGCCTTGGAGTCTCCACTGGATCCTGCATTGCTGGGAGATAAGACAGGATCATGAGGGGGAGTTTGAGGGGCCAGGCCCAGATGTAGTGTGTATCGCTTGTGCTTGCAGTTCCAGGGCCACAAGCAACTGCAAGGAAGACTGGGAAATGTAGTATAGCTGCATGCCCAGGAGGAGAAGGAAGCAGGGTTTGATGAAACACCGTAGCCTCTGCTGTAGACCCTGAGGCCCACCTCATGCTGAAGCTGCTCATTCTGCTGGTTCAAACCACAACCCATTGGATTGGTGGCCTTACAGTGTGTCCTTTCCTGCCAGGTGGGCCTTCATGTAGAACCTCCCCTTTCCTTCTCTGTGCCCCTGGACAACTCCCCCTTCTTCACCAGTGCTGTCTGTGACCCCTGTCCTCCATTTTCCTTTGTCTTCACAAATGATCTACCTGAGAGAGAAGGAGGACTTCAAGGAACATCCTCCTCAGCCCTCCTCCCACCCCCTCAACACCTACAATTTATCTGTAGCCCCATCCGTGCTTCCCCCTTCTCTCCTGACTCAGGAACCTGTCCCTCTGCAAGGTGAAGTCTGCTCTGCTCCGGGTTTCTGTGGAGACCTTGCATCCTCAGTCGTCTCTCCTTTCTTCAGCCTTTCCGTCTCAGTTTGTACTCTCCCCTCACAAACAAACATACTGAAGATTTTGTCATATTTAAAAAAAGGCCCTTGCCTCGATCCTGTCTTGCCCTCTGACTGGTGCTGTCTCTGTTCACAGCCAGATCTCTGAAACAGTAGATTTCTTGCAGTCTCCTTCCTCATCGTCGGCTTTGTCCCTGACGCCCTACGGTCTGTCACGTGCTGCCATTCGGTTGAGGCTGTCTCACTGAGGTTACCTGATTGCCATACCAAGGAAACGGTGCGTTTGGTCTGGACATCTGCTGACCTTTCCTCCTGCCTTGGGGATGCCACTCTTCTCTTTTTTAAAAAAATTTACTGTGCTTTAGGTGAAAGTTTATACTGCAAGGTAGTTAGTTTCTCATTCAAAAATTCATATACAAATTGTTTTGATAATCCCTGCCATGTGACAGCACTTCCCCCTTTCCACCCTGGGTTCCCCGTGTCCATTCGTCCAGTTTCCTGTCCCCTCCTGCCTTCTCGTCTTGCTTTTTTTGGGCGGGAGTTGCCCATTTGGTCTTGTACATTTGAACTAAGAGGCACGTTCCTCACATGTTATTGTTTGTTTTTATAGACCTGTCTAATCTTTGGCTGAAAGGTGGACTTCAGGAGTGGCTTCAGTTCTGAGTTAGCAGGGTGTTTGGGGGCCATAGTCTTGGAGGTTCCTCCAGTTTCTGTCAGACCAATAAGTCTAGTCTTTTTTTGTGAATTTGAATTTTCTACATTTTTCTCCCGCTCTGTCCGGGACTCTCTATTGTGATCTCTGTCATAGTGGTTGGTGGTGGTAGCCGGGCACCACCTGGTTCTTCTGGGCTTAGGCTGGTGCACGCTGTGGTACATGTGGTCCTTTGGGCTAATATTTTCCACGTGTCTTTGGTTTTCTTCACTCTCTTTTGCTCTGGAAGGGATGGGACTAATTTATTACAGATTTTAGATGGCCGCTTGCAAGCTTTTAAGACTCCAGGTGCTACTCACCAAAGTAGGATGTAGAACATTTTTTTTATGAACTGTGTTGTGCCAGTTGACCTAGATGTCCTCATCCCTCAGCCCCAGCAACTCAGTCCCTCAAGGTGTTCAGATGTGTCTAGGAAGCTTCTATGACTTTGCCGTAGTCATGTTGTACTGACTTCCGCTGTATTGTTTGTTATCTTTCCCTTCACCAAAATTGACACTTGTCTCCTATCTAGTTAGTGATTTCCCCTCCCTATCCCTCCCCACCCTCGTAACCACCAAAGATTTTTACTGTGTGTAAACCTTTTCTTGAGTTTTTCTAATAGCGGTCTCATACAATATTTACTCTTCTGTGATTGACTTACTTCACTCAGATTCCAGATTCATTGGTGTCGTGAGATGTTTCACGGATTCATCATTGTTCTTTGTTGTGTGGTACTCCGTTGTGTGTATGTACCGTCATTTGTTTATGCATTCATCTGCTGATGGGCACTTCGGTTGTTTCCATCTTTTTACTATTGTGAATAATGCTGCAGCGAACGTGGGTGTACATACGTCTATACCTGTGCCGGCTCTTATTTCTCTAGGATATATTCCTAGGAGTGGGATTGCTGGATCATACGATATTTCTGTTTCTAGCTTTTTAAGGATGACACTTTTCTTGACACTCTTTCCTTTACCCTTTCTATCCCACTTGGCCCCTCTCTGGTCCACTATGGTGAGTTTTTTTCCTTGCCTATCCTATCTCAATGCTGATGAGCCCCAGGTGCCCTCACCTTGGATCTTTTTTACCACCTCTGCTGTGGGTGAGCCTTCTCGTGAGCGTGGTATCAGCATTGTCATTTCTTGCTGATTCCCAGATCTGTGTATCAAGCACAGACTTCTTTCCTGAGCTTCAGACCATCATATTAACAGCCACTAGACTAGACTTCCTTTCTTCTCAGATTGGCAACTTCTGTACTATGTATCTTGGCTATCATGTCACTACTGGCCATCAGACACTAAGCCAGACACACTTGGGACTCAGCCCTAGACTTCTGCCTCATCTGTCACCGCATCCTGTCCATTCTGCCTCTTAAATCCCTCTAATGCCTCCCTTGGGTTCCATGTTCTTGACACCTAGCTGTAGGCACTTACCACTCACCCATGTTATTTTACTGGGCTTTACAGTTTGTAGATGTGGTGGCATAGTGGTTAAGCGTTTGCCTGCTAACGAAAAGGTCAGCAGTTCGAATCCACCAGCTGCTCCTTGGAAACTCTATGGGGCAGTTCTGCTCTGTCCTATAGTGTTGCTATGAGTTAGAATTGGCTTGATGGCAATGGGTTTGTTTTTTTTTTTTGTTCCTTTCTTTGCCCACAGGTTGGCTGTTCTTGGTTCTTCCTTCATGTAATTTACATACATATATGTATGCGCACACATGCACACACACACACACACACACATATATATTTTTTACATGTTTTATTCCTGAATTTTTTTGGGCAGAGAAGGTTATATTTGAACTTAGAATTCTATAAAACTGAAAAATTTTTCAGTTGGATATGAGATTAGATGAAAAGATACCTTTGCCAAGAGAATTTTATATGAAAACAGTTAACATCGATATACCCTGAGATACCTGAGAATTGAGTAGGCTGTTTATTAGTCCACTGTTCTATCTGTGCATACTATCAGTTTTTAGAAAGTGTTTTGAAGCATAGTGTCTATTTAAAAAAAAGTATAAAAGGATGTCTGGAAAAGCAGTTCCGTTTTTTCCTTGTTTTCTGCTGAACCTTCATTTTTAGTATTTATTGTTCCTCCTATGGCCATGATTCTGCCCCTTCATCCCAATGCCACATGTACAGTAAATACTAACGTTGGCAGTAATAATGCATGGGTGCCGTTGTTCACAAGCTCTGTGCCTCTGATGTGGAAGTTTAGTTTCCACCTTCCCCAAGGATCTGAAGATACAGTTGATTTACATGATTGTTGGTTGAGAGGGATGACTGTGCAGAACCACACCATATGGGATAAATCTTGATTCAAGGAATATCATTAACTTAAAAATTTATCCAAAAGATTCCCAAGACCTTACAGATTGTCCTTTTATTTCCGTCTGTGTTGAATATTCTGTGAAATGTATGAAACAATTTAGGCAGTTCTTTTAAAGGCTTAATTTTGGTAATAGAATTTAATCTGTGTCAGTATTTGCTTATTTCCAAAGATAAATAAATGCCTCTTATTGCTTGCAGGTCCCTCCTTGTGGTGCATTTCTGGGCACCATGGGCTCCGCAGTGCGCCCAGATGAACGAGGTGATGACAGAGTTGGCCAAAGAACACCCCCAGGTCTCCTTCGTGAAGGTACTGCGTTTCAGTGTTGGGTTTGCTGTGGATTTGATTCTGATCTGAGACTTCGACTAGGCTCAGTGAAGTGATTTGGAGCTCAAATGTTTATAATTGGTGTTTGGGATCTATTATTTTTGCAGTAGATTATTCTTAAAAATCTTAAAATAGCCTTGCATTTCTGAAGTACCGAGTAGTGTAAAAATCACCACGCCTTCTCTACTACTTACTTGGGTGGGAGGACATAACCGGCAAGCATCGGGTTGGCAGAGGCAGAAATGTGTGAGCAAAGCAGACTGTAGGTGGTTCCCTGTGGGTAATTTGATTTTAATGTAATTAAAGTATTAACAAGACTTATTTCATTGAAAAGCTAGGTGTGGCACAGCAACTGATTCAAGAAAGGGTACGTACGGGCTGCTAGGGACCAGGGAAATAGAAAGGAGTTGCTTCCTTGGGTTGGGTAACTGTAAACCTACGGGAGAAATGGAAAGTCTTCCTAACCTGTTCAGGATGCAGAAGAAAAAGGAAGCTAGAGTCTCTTCTTTGCCTCCTTTATTTTCACTCTGGATTTGCAGGCGCCTGCACGCCTAGCTGTCTCTTGAGTGGGTTAAGTTACTAGGAGAGTGAGGGTTTTGACCGTGTGCTAGCACAGTTGGTATAGCACAGGTTAGTGTTGTCATCCAGCACTTAGTATTGGTTTAGGTAACAAGGCCAAAATAGGACTTGAGAATCTTGTTGTTTGGTGCAGTCGAGTTGGTTCCAACTCATAGCTACCCTGTGTATGACAGAACAAAACACTGCCCGGTCCTGTGCCATCCTCACAGTCGTTGTTATGTTTGAGCCCATTGTTGCAGCCACTGTGTCAGTCCATCTCGTTGAAGGTCTTTCTCTTTTTCGCTGACCTTATACTTTACCAAGCATGATGTCCTTCTCCAGGGACTGATCCCTACTGATAACATGTCCAAAGTATGTGAGGTGAAGTCTCGCCATCCTTGCTTCTAAGGAGCATTCTGGCTGTACTTCTTCCAAGACAGATTTGATCTTTCTTTTGGCATCCATGGTATATTCAGTATTCTTTGCCAACACCGCAATTCAAAGGCGTCCGTTCTTGTTCAGTCTTCCTTATTCATTGTCCAGCTTCCTCCTGCGTATGAGGCGATTGAAAACACCATGGTTTGGGTCAGGCACACCTTAGTGCTCAAGGTGATGTCTTTGCTAATTTCTAATCTTAGAAATGAATTATTGGGAAAGTGAGGCACACCCTGTATTCAAAAGCCTGAATCTTTAGGATTAAAAAAGAAAAAATAAAAATGCCACAAAACCAAAGCCGTATTTTTTTAAAAACCAGGATTTGTGAGTTCAGAGTCCATGCTGGCAAGCATACACATAACTGAGATTTAAAAAAAAGACATAATTGTATGGGTCTGTATGCCACTTTTTATGTAAACTCTGAAAACCCAGAATTCTGATTGGTTAATTAGTTTATGTAGTAGGTGGTATCATTTTCAGATAGTTTTTGCATAGGTATATATATATATATATTTTTTGGTTTTGACTAGGTAGTGCACTCAGGTTAAAAGTCAAACAAGTGTAAACAGGTTTCCACCGAGAAGACTCACACCCACTCCTCTCCCTGTCAGTCCTGTTGCCCCAAGCCCATAAGTAACCACTTGTATTGATTTTGTATGAATCCTTCCAGTGTTGCTTTATGCAAATAGAACAAATATGAATATAATAGTTAGTTTTTTAAAGTTTCAATGAAATGTGTGATGTAATCTTAGAGTATATCCCAAAAATATCAAGTATAAATAATAGAAGAGAACATGAAAACTGCATGTTTGGTCAGTGATAAAAGATAATGATTACAGGAGAAATGAATGATTAAACGTTTCAGTCGCAGGACTGATCAAGATCATGGTAATTGTTCTCTGTCCGTTTTTATGCGTGTAGTGTTTCTGGTTTAGGTAACACATTGTTCTGAGCTGCCATTGAAATGATTTATTTAAAGTGACTATAGAGTTACTTCTCGCATGGGTGCCATACTTGGCAGTGAGATTGTCTGTTGTTCAGGTGCTGAAGCATCTTAGCAGGCCAGGTCGGGAAGCCCTTGTCCTGGCGGCGGATCCCTGAGCCCGGCCGCATCTGCCATTCCGTGAGTGACTGCGGCGGTGGCGGGTCATTCTTTCAGGAGCCGTGACTTTTCGGAAACTCGCTCTACGGCTTAGTCTTTCTTTCATTAGATGTGATCAAGGGCAAAGACAATTTCCATGGGGTTTGTGAGGTAGGTAATTTAAAAGGCCACAATTGCCAAACATCAGTGAGAAAATGAGAAATAAAATATTCAAGTGATCATGGGTGTTTTCTAGTAAGAGAAACATGCAGTTCATTTTAAAACAGTTTTCTTTAGTTGATGAGAGCTTGTGGAAATTTCTAGGGCATGGAACTAATGTTTTACTACCCCTGCCTGTGTCTTTTAGTTTGATTTCTTAGTCTTTTTTTTTTTTTTTTAAATGGCTGTGATAGTTTGGCATTTTTAACTGTGAAGTATAGAGATTAGTCCATTTTTATGACTTAAATTTACAAAGTCATTGTCTTAGTCATCTAGAGCTGCTATAACAGAAACATCACAAGTGGATGGCTTTAACCAACAGAAATTTATTCTCTCTCAGTCTAGGAGGCTAGCAATCTAAATTCAGGGCACCAGCCCCAGGGGAAGGCTTTTTCTCTCTGTCGGCTCTGGGGCAAGGTTCTTGGCATCAGTCTTCCCTTGGGTGTAGGAGTTCCTCAGCACAGGGACCCCAGGCCCAAAGGATGTGCTCCACTCCTGGCTCTTCTTACTTGGTGGTAATGGAGTCCTTCTTCTGCCTGCTTGCTTCTCTCTTTTATGTCTCAAAAGAGATTGACTCAAGATACAGCCTAATTCAGTAGATTGTGTCCTACCTCATTAACATAACTGCCTCTAATCCTGCCTCCTTAACATCATAGAGATTAGAATTTACAACACATAGGTAATTACATCCGATCACAAAATGGAGGACAACCACACAACACTGGGAATCATGGCCTAGCCAAGTTAACACATTTTTGGGGGACGCATTCAATCTATGACAGTGTTGTTCAATCTTAGTGTTGGTCTCTATACACTTGCCTATTCTAGATATTTCATGTAATTAGGATCATACAATATTTGTCTTTTTGTGACTGACATATTTCACTCAGCATAATATCTTCAGGGTTCATCCATGTGGTGTAGGAAGTTTTATATAAAGGGCCTGTACCATTTGTGACACAGAGTGGGCCCTCCATGCAGGAATGCTGTTTTTGAGCATCCTTGTACTCTTCTGAATGCAGATCATTTCTAAATATCTGTATGTTTACTTTTTACTTTCATTGTTATAACTGTTTATTGTGTTAGGTGCAACGGAAACATTTCCAGAGAGTTTTAGTCCTGCAAAGGTTTAGGACTTCAGGTGGTACAAACATTACTTCTTGGTTTTAGAAGTTGCTTAACTAAGCTAACTTAAGCCTTGGGGAGACAGTGGTTTGTGTGAAAATATCAGTTGGGAAAGTTGATTAATATAGTTTGAAATGATGTTGATTGGCTTTAAAAAGCTAATTATCTTCAGGTTGATCTCGAAATGCAGGGATTTTTTCTTCCTTCACTTTCACAGCTGGAATGAGAGTAAGAATTGGAGCAAAGAAAAGCATTCGTGTTGTAGGAACGGAAACTGCCAGGGCCTGACCAGAGACCATTAAAGAGAAAATGAGAAAGTCTGAAGAGGTTAAAGTGGCAGTGACCTGCGTGTGACCTTTGATGATATTCTGGAGAACGGCTTTGCTTTCGTGGGACTCCTGTCCCTTGCTCTGGAGCATCTGTCTGTCTGTCACCCCTGCCTTTGTCTTACCAAACTCTCACCTGGGAGCTGATTTGAGCAGGACCTACAGAGGACCGTTTACTTCCCAAGGAGCCCTGGTGGCACAATGGTTAGACGCTTGTCTGTTAACCGAAAGGTTGGCCATTCAAACCCACCCAGTGGCTCCTCAGGAGAAAGCCCTGGTGATCTACTCGTGTAAAGATTACAGCCTAGGACACCCTATGGGGCACCTCTCCTCTGTCATGTGGGGCCACTATGAGTCAGAATCGACTCGGGCACCAAACCCCAACAACATTTGCTTCTCAGTGGAGTTGTCTGTAACGGGTGCCGTTGGAACCCAGCAGGATATGAGAAGAGATCAGATTTTAAAGCATATAGGAATTTGTTTTTATGAGTCAAGATGCTTAACCTGTTTTGTTCTGGTTTAAGACCATATTACCTTATGTCTACTCTGTTGCCTTTTTTGGGTTTGTATTACTTTATATCAGAATGTGGTGGTACCACCGACAGGACCCGTTTCTGAGCCTAGCACAAGGCCTCGTGTGTGTCAGGCCCTCACTCGGCAGATGTTGGTTGAAGAAAAAGAATGAACGAGGGTGAAGTGTAGGCATGCCTGTGTGATCCGCTTTCTGCCCGTCTTTGGGCTGAGGGTGGAACAGTGTGGGAGAAGGTAGCACAGAAGTTTCTAGAACTTCTGAAAGAGTGTGGTCTAAATAGCTGTCTCAGAATGCTTTGCCTGCTTTCTGCCTTATTTTCAGTTTTATTGAACAGTTGAGTGATGTCGACTTAACATTTACGGAATTTTCACATAGATTTTTTTAAATGAAATAATTGAAAATATTATTTCAAAGAGTGATAAAGAAAAAAAATAAGGCATTGAAAGAGCACGCTGACTAGATCAGATGGAAGATACGAACGAAAGACAGATTATCTTGCCTTCTACTATATAGTCAAGGCTCATTCACAGAAATACAATTGGACTGGGTAAAGCTCTAGATCAAAATAGCATTTCAAACCCACTGGAATCTTTTACTCTTTAAGAAATGCAGTGTATATACTTGAAAAACTTTTAACAATATAATTTACCAATAAATTTTATTTCCTACAGGTATAATGTGAATACAGATCTTTATTGGTTTCAAAAAGTTTATATTAAATTGACAGTCCTGTGAGGGAGAAATGTAATATGCAGGCAGCACCCTGGTTACAAACCTCTGACTTACGTACAAGCCGTAGTTATTAATCAATCCCTTTAAAGCCTATTATATTAAAAATTTGAGGTACCAACAGTGGTTCCTGATATCGAACGAGCACTGCTTTGTGACTCACATCGAAACATTATTATTGCTTTATTATTATGTTAAAGATGTTTTAGTGTATCTGAAAGTGTTTCTTTAATGTTTTGTATGCATAGGAAGGTACACCGTATACGGTATGCCAAGGTAAACGTTTGACTAACTGATGTTCCATATGAACCGCACCTCACTGTCCTGACTTACGTGCAAATTCAACTTAAAGACAGACTTAGGAACGGAACTTGTTCATAATCTGGGGACTGCCTGCGTCTTGGTTTTTCTCCAAGTATACTGTAGTATTACTAACTGCTTCAGATCCATGTTTATCAGACGTTACCTCGATGCGGGTGTCCAGGAAATGATGAGACAGCGTGCAGTCACCTTCTTTAAAACACATTTAAAAGCATAAATAGACCCAGGAGTGAGGAGCCAGCAAGGATCTGCTTAGCGTCCAGCAGCCTTGCAGGGGTTAACAGTAAACTTCATGAGACATCAATAGTAGTTTATTGAAGAAATACTCCTTTTTGCTTCCTAATTTGCAGAAGGCTGCAGCTGTCAGTCATGATGTACTGCCTCTTGGAATTAGTCAATAGAGCAAACGGCAGGAATTGCTGTGGGCAGAGAATAAGCACTGTAATCATGACATAACTGGGGTCAGTGATTTATGGATTTCAATATAGTGGTAGCTGCATATGATTGAAAATTTACAAGGTCACTAGTGCACCCAAAATTTTATTCACAGCCTCCAGGCATCTTTTGAAAATGTGCAACAAAATAAAAACCTCTGACCTGTTATGACACTGCAGGCTCGGTGGATGACACGCCAGCTCAGTGAGTCTCATTTATATGTGTAAGCGTGTCACAGGCTCTGTGCCACACTTAAGAACACAAACTCCTTGAAGGGATAGTGCATGTGAGACTGATTGACATATCCAAGTAGGAAAAAAGAACCTTTTTATAGTCAACCTGGAATTCTTTTATTTTAAAGTTGGAAGCTGAAGCTGTTCCTGAAGTATCCGAAAAATATGAAATTAGTTCGGTTCCCACCTTTCTGTTTTTCAAGGTAAGGATGAAGATGGCACAGCCGACCCCTGTGGGTAGTGGGCAGGGGGGCTCTCTGTCTTGGCTCCTCTGCCCTGCCCCCACTGCGTGAGCAAGAGCCCTTTGGCGGTGCCTGGCCAACTCCTTACTGCCTGGCCTCCTGCCTTTTGCACCAGTGCTGAGGAGTACCGTGCCAGTGGCCTGCCAGGGTCCTGGAAAAGTGACCCAGGCTGTGGAGGTCTAGCCCCAGAATTGGAGGTCTTGATAAAAACCCACATACACAGCCGTGGGCCCAAGATATCCCCTGAGTTGGATCAGAAGCTGGTTGTTTAGGGCAGCACTGAATGGAGTGACAGCATCGGGCCAGTTCTGATGGAATTAACGGCTCCTGCTGGTGCCTCAGGGCGCGGATGGGTGTTGGCACAGTTCCTCAAACAGCTCATTTACACCTAATAGCAACAGGGCCATCCCAGTCAGGGTGGGGCGTCTTTCTGTTTGGGTTAGGCTCTGGTCTAGTTTAAGATGTTGCTACCTCTTCCCAGTGTGTTCCCACGAGAGAAAGCAATTATTATGACGATCTAAAATTTAGATGCGCTGCAGGCAGCGCTGGCGGTCTGTTTTTTTGCTTCTCCAATAGTAGTTTGACCCCTTTAAAAATTGGCCAGAACTATGGATTTGTACTAGTTATACTTTTGGAGCCTAAAATACAGAGATGATGAAAGAATGCCACACATATTCTAAATGCCCTTTTCAACTTCAGAATTCTCAGAGCATTGACCGATTAGATGGTGCACACGCCCCAGAACTGACCAAAAAAGTTCAGCGACATGCGTCCGGCAGCGCCTTCCCGCCCAGCACCAAGGAGCACCCGAAAGAAGACCTCAACCTCCGTCTCAAGAAGTTAACCAACGCTGCCCCCTGCATGTTGTTCATGAAGGGGACTCCTCAGGAGCCTCGCTGTGGTAAGAGCACGTACACAGGATGGGCGATTCACAGTGGAGGGTACAGTGGAGACAGGGTGTGCTTCTTCCAAGCTGTACTGTGCGTCTCACGCTTGTGCTCAGTTACCTTAGAAAGTCAGAAGGTTACCCCTCCCAGTGGCATTATGCAGTTACATAATTAGAATTAGTTGGCATTGTCGACTCAGAGACTGTTGGAGCCAAAAGGGATCTTAGAAGTCATTTAATTCAAGATCTTTGTTTTATATGCAAGTACTCAGACCCAAAGGGGACGGTGACTCACCCCAGGTCGCCCAGTGGTGGTTGGAATTGGGTTCCCGCTACCATACTGCCTGTGTTTAGTTAGTTTTGCTGATCACAGGTACCTTCTCTTTCTCGGCAACC